GGAGAGCACTGCTTATCTTGACTGCGTCTTCATTCAAAAGCAAAATTATGAAGAAATTACAAATGAAATGCCATAAAATGAAAAGTAATTTATACAAAATTTACATTTATAAATATGTGTTACATTTGTGAGCATAAATATAACATATGCAGATAATTTACTTGAGTAGTGGCAGCCGTACTTGAAAAGTCTTTGATTAGGTCAGATTTTTAATTCAGGATAATGAGGTGTTAAATTGATATAGCATTACAAACCAACCAGCAATCAGCCACGTCTGTCACCGACAGCCAACTTGTAACTATTATAAAATATGATCAGAGAAGTCATCAGAAGGAGACAATATACATTCATTGGTCAGGTCATGAGGAGAAAAAGAGTACACTGTGACGGTGGGAAAGCTGGAGAGAAAAAGATACAGAGGGAGATCAAGAGAAGATACTGGACAGTTAGACAGCACAGCATGGAAGATTAGCTGTGTAAGCACTGACTGAAAGTACATGACACAGCAGGTTGTGAATATACCACCAACACCACATAGTATGGACTAGAAGAAGAAGAAGAAGAATCAATGAAGCCACAAACAACAGACTGCACCTGTCCTGCCAGTGCAGTTACTTCTGAATGTGGCTGATTTTGTATTTCAGTAGTTTAGGTTTATCTATTTGCTCTATTTTATTCAACTGCTACTGTAACATACATCTGACAAAACACAGCAAAACTGTGCAGTCTATTGTTTGTGTCTTCGTTGTTCAAATTTACGATGAAGCAACATAGCTCTGATTTAAATATTTTCATTTTTAACTCATACAAAATTATATGTAATCTTTAAATTATAGTGCTTGTTATTAGAACAGTACAATGTTTATAAAAACTGCAGTGGCACAGCAGTCAATTTGTAGGCCTGTAAAACAGTGGTCTGGGCTCACTACCCAGCAGAAGCAGGGAGTTATGAGTTAAGCACTCTGTCACCATCTTCAGCAGCAAACGTATAGTTCCAGTTTCAATTATACAAGTAATAGTCTGACTATACGTCTGTATTACTAATAGTTTGCTTGCATGTCCGTCTCACCCCTCCTCTAAGCGTTGAGAAACGTCAAAATCCCCTTGTCACTACTCACTGCGCCATTCTCTTCAGATCATGATGACCCATGTGCGACTTAAACACTGTTCACTTCCTCCCAAAGATAAGATCCCCCCTGCCACCCCAACAAGCAAGTTGTAAAAGGCTACTAATCAGAGGTGTTTTCTTTGAAGTCGGAGAGCATCTGCCTGAGATGCGAGTAACCAACAGTCTGCATACAAATAAGCCAGATGTGTGAAAAGGATATGCATGTAAAATTCAAGTACTGGAACAAGACAACAGTCCAGAATTGCAGGAAAAGCCAGAATGTTTAAAAGTCCTAAAAAAACAATGTACACACTTCATGAAAACACTTTTCTTCTTCTTCTTCTTCAACATTCCAAGCCCTTGAGGCTCATTACTAAAGATATCACCCACTGCCATTCATCTTTGGCTTCCTCTTTTTCAGTTGGTGATTCCGTGTGTTTGTATATCTCTGTTGTCTTCTCGGTCTAACCCATAATCTTCTCCTATTCAACTCTTTTGTGGAAGTAGCTTTTCTTTCTTTCAATGTTATCTGTGATTCTCTCAATATGCCCCAGCCATTGCAATCTATTTGCCCTCATGATGTCAGTAACTGCTGGCGGTTGAAACAGATTATGAATTCTGTTGTTTTGAAAACATGCATTAAAATGTTAATACTAAATTTATATTTATAAACATGACAATTCCCCCCCCCCCCCCCCCCCCCCCCCGCAAATCGCTTACCTACGAGTTAAAACATCTCTGAAGAGACATCATACTTTGCTATCACAATTTGATCTTCGGAAAATAATCACAGATGACACCTGTATGCTTTTATTGGTGTTACCAGATGTTCACAATAGGAACTTTATTGATACCTGTATATTCAGTATTTTACTTTGTTCTGAGGCACTGGCCAGATTTCCCATCTCGCATAGACTTGCACACCCTCTATGGTGAAATACAGATTGATAGAAGATGACAAAGTCGGCCTCTGCTATACAAATAAGTTTGCAAGTGGAATATAAATGGTACAGGTTTTGAGGTGTATTTGCGTCAACAGTGTTGCATGGCGAAAGAAATGACCAGGAAGGGAATTCCCCGGGGTATTTATTCTTATTCCCACGTGTCTCATCAGTCTACTGACAAGATATTGACGTCCCAAGTGTCTCATCAGTCTACTGACAAGATATTGACGTCCCACGTGTCTCATCAGTCTACTGACAAGATATTGACGTCCCACGTGTCTCATCAGTCTACTGACAAGATATTGACGTCCCACGTGTCTCATCAGTCTACTGACGAGATATTGACGTCCCACGTGTCTCATCAGTCTACTGACAAGATATTGAGGTCCCACATGTCTCATCAGTCTACTGACAAGATATTGACGTCCCACGTGTCTTATCAGTCTAATGACAAGATATTGACGTCCCACGTGTCTCATCAGTCTACTGACAAGATATTGACGTCCCACGTGTCTCATCAGTCTACTGACAAGATACTGACGTCCCACGTGTCTCATCAGTCTACTGACAAGATATTGACGTCCCACGTGTCTCATCAGTCTACTGACAAGATATTGACGTCCCACGTGTCTCATCAGTCTAATGACAAGATATTGACGTCCCACGTGTCTCATCAGTCTACTGACAAGATATTGACGTCCCACGTGTCTCATCAGTCTACTGACAAGATATTGACGTCCCACGTGTCATCAGTCTAATGACAAGATATTGACATCCCACGTGTCTCATCAGTCTAATGACAAGATATTGACATCCCACGTGTCTCATCAGTCTACTGACAAGATATTGACGTCCCACGTGTCTCATCAGTCTACTGACAAGATATTGAGGTCCCACGTGTCTCATCAGTCTACTGACAAGATTTTGACCTGGCTGCTTCGAGATGCTAAGCTAAGTGATTTTGTGTGGTATTGATTTATGTATGTGCTGATGAAGACTCCATAACCGCAATGGTCACGTTTTGTTTGTGTTTAATATATTGTGAAGCTTGCTGATATACTTTTCGTTCAGTTTTACAAAATTTCTTGACAGGGATAAAGAAGAAAATGACTGCAGATCGGACAGAAGCTAATCGTCTGATAAGAAGCATGTTAACGCATGTGATGTCAGTGATAGTGAGCTGTGGTTAATGTACTTAGGGATCAAACTGCTCACAGTGTGTATACAAAACCAAACTCTTGGTCGTCCATTCAGCATAACTAACACTTTCAGTACCAGAAGGTTTCTTAGGAGATCCTAAAGAAAAAAAAAAGGGGGTGTGGGGGGGTGGAATGTGATAACTATATAAAAAAAAAAAAAAAAAAAAAAAGGTGTATATGGTTTTTGAAGAGGCCAAATAGACAATAAAGTAACAGAAGGAGAAGCCAGACTTTCTTAGCATATTGTGACCAAATATAAGAAGTCAAAGACTCAAGCAATAATTTGAATTTCTGGGCATTAGCAAATGACACCTTATGCATCTCTTGGGACTGAAAGAATCAAGTTTTCAACAATACACCAAATCTCCTATCCTCTGTACTGGTACCTTTTCGTTGGTACCTTAAAGATACGGTCCACGATGAACAGGAGGCTCAATGCATGGAAGTGGGACTAAAAAAAGCTGTGGTGACTCATTGAATTAAAAAGACATTCTACCTTTCCTGAAGCTTACACCCAACATCATCATGATGGTAGGTCAGTGAACCAATCACTACACATCACGACCCATAAATCTGCATACATAACTTTACATGTTATAGTCTCAAACATAGGTTATATTAGTGTAATCAGAAAGTGGTTCACTGTCATTACTAGAGACGCCTGATCTGATTGAATTTCTGTCTAGCGAGGAAACATAACTGTCTTCAGAAGAGCTGTATGAACCATTAGTGTCATAAATGTAACCCTGAGGACCATGTTTCTGTGAATTCACAGTCTCTGAGGATGTTTTACTGCTACCTGTCGCATGGTCACTCTTCTTGGGGCTCCTAAATGGAGGAGGGTTTTGGTAAGGTGGAGGGTTGCGTGACTGGGATATGCCTGAGGTAGGTTGTTGATTGCTGTTGGAGCTTTCATTACTGGCTTTGTTAGTAGTATCCTTTGATTTGTCATATATTGATTTGAGGTCTTTGACACTCCAGTGAATTTCTCGTTTGTGTTCCAGCAGTGCAGTGGTTGTTGGGTGGAACCCTCTAGAGGGCATCCTTGTTTTAAATCCTGCCAATGAGGCAGATTGTACTGTCATATCTTCAGTGGAAAAGGCTGATTTCAGCGGTTTGGGAGACCATGATCTCAGCCTGTTGCCTTGTGAAGGTTCTGATGACTGATGTGGCAGATCATGTGAAGCTGTTGAAGAAATATGCTGATCATCTTTTGACTGACTGAAATATGATTTGGCTTTAAGAAAATTCTGTTGTATTTCTGACTTGATATCCCTGTGGTCTGATTGTAATCTGGAATCATGATTCCTGTCAGTGTAGCATTGTGGACTAGAGCTATTTGTTAACTTCTGCACATGTTTCACAGCTTCAGATCTACTCTTTGTTGGCAGGGAGTTAAATCTGCCTAAATCGTCTAGATGTTCTGCTGAAACACTGTGATTTCTGTACAAATTGAAATGAGGAGCCCCAAGCTTTGATTTGACATTTTCTGTGGTTACTGTTCTCCGAGCATGTGTTTCCTGAAGGAATGATGATGATGATGATTTCTGAGGTGACCTAAATGCACTGTCTATAGACTGCTGACGATGGGTCTTTACAAATGAAGCTGTTACTGAAGACGATGGTGATGAACTTTTTTGTTCATAAATCTGAACTGACTGCTGGTATAGTTTTTCTGGAGATTTCTTTATAGCATTAACTTTATGCTCATCTTGGTCTATGGCACCGCTAGCATAATCCTGAATGCTGTTACTTTTTACTGAATGAAACTGTTGTGTTGGCTTTGCTGGGATGTAGGGACTCTGTGACAGATTGTGACTTTGTAGAAATGAGCACAGTCTTAGAATTGTTGGTAGCAGATAATGGTGGCAGTTTAACAGAACCATCAGTTCGATCTGAAGAAGTGGAATGTTTTACAAAAGGTGATTGTGTCTCTGAGGTGCCGAGGTTGAAATTAGTTGCCTTTTTATTGTCAGATTTGTCAGAACTAGTAGATTCATGTAACGATTTAGTATTAGCAGCGTCAAGTGGTACATTATGTTTTATCATTAACTTTCTCTCCATTGCTTCATGATAATTTGGGGGCTTCTCAGGTCGTTTGGGTTCTGGAACGACTGATTCCTTGTCCTTTAGGGACAAAGGAAAACTCAAATTAGAGCTCATATACTTTGAGAGTCTGGCTCTTCTGGCAGCAACAGAGTCCAAAGTGGACACAGTGTTTCCTGGAGGAGCTATGATGACTGGTCTAGAGGTGGCACTGACGTATTCCTCTTGACGCACAGAGCTCATGCACGAGTCAAAGGAAAACTTGTCGGATTCAGCATCTGAAATATTGGGATGATCATGGCTCGTTCTGACAGGCAGAGAGACCTGCATGAGTGGAGTCTGTAGTGTATAAAGGATGACCTTCGGTGGCGGAGATCCTTTGTCAAAATGAGAGGAAAACCATTGTTTTTTGTATTTCTGATTATCACGCAGTGGAGAGGTGGGGGCAACATGAAAAGAAAGGTCGGTGGAATGGTAACTATTAGGCCTCAAGCCTTGCCTGAATTGTGGACTTCTCATTTCAATCTCTTCAGCTTCATGAGATTTCCCAGGCCAATGTTTGGCAGAAAGAGGATCTGCTGGTGCTGCCTGTTGCAATAAGTCAATTCCGGCATTTTCTGTATCACGAAGAAGGTCAGAAGTTGATTTACTGTGAGGAATGGAATGTTGGAAGTTTAAATTATGAGCAAACACTTGTTGATTCCAGGGTTTGCCTGGGATGGTAGTCTCTGGCATCCAGACAAGAGATTGATACCCTGGTTGGTCTGGTGTCTGTGGAGCAGAATGAACAGATTCATCCTGTGAAGCACTGTAAGCTGAGTCAGAGACGACACTGTCACGGGAACTTTGTGAATGCCGAGACTGTGGGGATACTGGAGGAGTGTTATCTATGACCGAAGACTGTCTTATAAAAGGATGTTTTGATTTACCTCCCGAAGTACCAGGTTGGTATTTTGCAGGCACAGAGTCATTCATCAAAAGTAGATTGTCATTACCCTCTAATTTTATCACCACAGATGTATCTGTTGCAGTTCTAAATCTCTCAAAGTCTACAGGACAGAACTGGTCATCTAATTCATTTTCCTCTCCAATTGAATCGGATGAAACCCTTTTGCTGAGGAGAGGGTGGGCCAGCAGTGGTCTCAACTCCCCAGATCTATCAGATCGATGACCAGTAAATGCATATTGTTCTGTGTCACTACTTCCATTAGAGTCCCTCCTGATCTTTGAAGACCGTTTTCTTGGAGGAGCTATGGGATTGATCTGTTTGTTCAAGTGGCTACCCAGGTTTTGAAGGAAGTGTTTTTGATTGTATTCGTTTTCTGTGACATGTGATGTACTGCGCTGGTACTTTTTTGTTTGTATACTGACACTTTCTCCATGAAATGCTTCTTCATCATAAAGCTGGGTATCACTTAGAGTAAGACCAGAGTCTCGGCTCAAGTTTGAGGGAGAGATATGAGATTTAACAGCTTTGGGGCTGGAGTCAGCATCTGGCGTGAAGAATTCACGGTCTACCAAACTGTCAGTTGACGAGTCATTGTTCCGAAGACCCACTGCGAATAAATACAATAATAATCATGGTTAGCACAACAATCCAAAATTATATTACATACATAATTTAAAACTTAATCAAATACTAGGTAATTAATTTTTTTTACATAACTGAATAAAACACACAATGTCATAGTCTGTCAAAAACCACCATTATTGCCTGTTTTTAATCACCCCTGGCTTTACCATTTCTGTTGTGGATGCCTGGCCTCACTGAGCCTGATGTTTTAAGGCCAAATGGCCAGTGTGGGCGCCATGTCAGAAAAAAAAAAAAAACCAATAACCTTACCAAGGATTCTAACTTGGGTCTCCCACATAGAGTCCAGGATTCTCAACATTTGGCCAGTCACTCTTTAAAATCAGGGTCACTTTACTGAATGTGCTAACATACTAAATATAACTGTTAGACTACTCACTCTAACTTTAATATAATTATGAATGCATAAAGTATTCTTCAGATCACTATACACTACACATCTGATTACTCATCATTATCTAAAACTGGGGAAATCTATGGCTGCTTGTAGAAACAATCATGGCTGCTTGTAGAAACAATCACTCCAATCCAAGCTTATGTAAGTAAAATAAAAGTGAAGGACCCTTTTCCATGGCCTCAGACCTATTTGACTGGAGCTATATTATATAGACCAATCGGTACATGGTGGGTGATTCGGTCAACATCATATCAGATGCCTTTAGTTCCCACGACTATACCTGGTACCTATTTTAGGCTTGGCTGACTAAGCTAAGGTCATTTTTGAAACAATCTGGCTCAATGGAGATTTGAACCTACAACCTTTAGGTTTAGGACAGCGTGTAGCCACCCTATGACTTTTTTTCTTCCAGTGACTCAGTGAGTTTGCTCAAGAAGATTCGAGGAAGCAGAGCTTGGAACCACTGCAAGAACATGTCAAAAGATGTGTGGTCAGATAATTGTGCTATACAAGGTGCCAAATAAGAATAGAAAATTAATAGAGAACTACTGTAGCCAGCTGCTATACACTCAGGAATATGTAGAGGAGGGATGCAAACACAGATGATGGGATCCTTTCACAGAGGAAGGGATCAAAACACAGAGGAAGGGATCAAAACACAGAGGAAAGGATAACATTGAGGAATATGCAGAGGAAAGGGATCCAAAACAGAGGAAGGGATCCTAACACTGAGGAATATGCAGGGAAAGGGATCCAAAACAGAGGAAGAGATCCTAACACTGAGGAATATGCAGGGAAAGGGATCCAAAACAGAGGAAGGGATCCTAACACTGAGGAATATGCAGAGAAAGTGATCCAAACACATAGGAAGGGATCCAAACACAGAGGAAGGGATCCAAACACAGGAAGGGATAAAAAAAAACAGGAATAAACTGAGCCACTAATCTGGCTCCCATAAACTAACATAAGAGAGGTTAAACAAATAAAGAACCCTTTTCATGCCAGACACATTAGGCACAGGGTATAAGACCCATATTTTCATAGAACAACCAGGATGTGATATGGTCGACATTATGCCAAGCCCCTTTATTTCACAGAACATTTCCTGGTACCCATTTTAGGCCGGCTTGACCTGGGAGTCACGGTTAATTGGTTTAATAATCTGGGTAAATGCAGATTCAAATTCAAAAGCTTTGGGCTGACAGAGAAGAGCCTAGTCACTGCACTATCATAGCTTCCAAACTTTAGCCACTGCATTAGTGCAGCTGCTAAGCTCTAGCCACTGTTTCTGCAGCTCCCAAACTAGCGACTGTTACTGCAGCTTCCAAACTCTAGCGACTGTTTCTGCAGCTCCCAAACTAGTGACTGTTACTGCAGCTTCCAAACTCTAGCCACTGCATTAGTGCAACTGCTAAGCTCTAGCCACTACACTACTGCAACTCCCAAACTCTAACTACTGTTTCTGCAGCTCCCAAACTAGCGACTGTTACTGCAGCTCCCAAACTCTAACTACTGTTTCTGCAGCTCCCAAACTAGCGACTGTTACTGCAGCTCCCAAACTCTAACCACTGTTTCTGCAGCTCCCAAACTAGCGACTGTTACTGCAGCTCCCAAACTCTAGCTACTGTTTCTGCAGCTCCCAAACTAGCGACTGTTACTGCAGCTCCCAAACTAGCGACTGTTACTGCAGCTCCCAAACTCTAGCTACTGTTTCTGCAGCTCCCAAACTAGCGACTGTTACTGCAGCTCCCAAACTCTAGCTACTGTTTCTGCAGCTCCCAAACTACTGACTGTTACTGCAGCTCCCAAACTCTAGCTACTGTTTCTGCAGCTCCCAAACTAGCGACTGTTACTGCAGCTTCCAAACTCTAGCCACTGTTTCTGCAGCTCCCAAACTAGCGACTGTTACTGTAGCTTCCAAACTCTAGCCACTGTTTCTGCAGCTCCCAAACTAGCGACTGTTACTGTAGCTTCCAATCTCTAGCCACTGTTTCTGCAGCTCCCAAACTAGCGACTGTTACTGCAGCTCCCAAACTCTAGCCACTGTGTTACTGTGACTCCTAAAATAACATAACTGGTATAAAATAAAGTGTACAAATAAAGAACTCACTTCCAGTATCCTGCAGGCTTAGAACACTATGCATGCTATCTGAATCAGTTCCAGAGTTTGAGTCCTGCTGCATACGCTCATGCTGCTGCCGATGCTGGAGTCTATGATGCTGCGGTGGACGCTGACTGTAGTTAACCTCATCATCTTGTTCCTCTTCTATAACCATTTCCTCCTGCTCGTCCTCATCTAAAGATGGCTGCATCTGCAGTTCTTGCCTTTCCTCATGAAGGTTCATTGGTGGGGATACTTGGCAGCCATATTTAGTGAACACAGAGAGAATGTCTTCCCCAAAGAGCTCGGTATGGTTGACAATCATGAAAGATATTAACGGCACAAACACATTCTGAATGTCGTAGACAGAGTTCTGCATCTGCATCTGCTTCAAGCTTTCTCCCTTGAGTCTACTTTGAGGCGATGCTGTTGCGTCAAATGCATAAAAGGATGGTGCAATGCAGGTGGCCAGATTGGATGGTCCCATGTGATTTTGTGAACTAAATTTGGCCAAATGTTGTAGCAAGCTTATCGTTAACTTGACCAAGCGATAATGAGCCGGAGGAAGTTTGTTTAGAATTCTGCAAAATAAAACAAGAAAACGTTAAAAAGCTTTTTATAAAACAATTTGTACGGCTTGTTCAGGGGCGAGGTGAAATCGCCGTTAGAATAATCACATCTTTTTCTTCTTCTACTCTGTGTACACCACTATAAACATTGCAAGCTAGTTTGGTTTCGGCACAAAGTGAGACATCTATGACTCCATCACAAAGACTATACTAATGAACACTGGTAGGCAGATGAAGAAGAGAAGGGCAAAGAAGAACCTCAAATGACAACATCAAGAGACGGACAGCACTAAATTATAATACACTTGCTCAAAAAGTGAAAGACAGAAAGGTGCCAGGTTTTGTGTGCTAGTACTTCCATCGATACACCTCCACGACCCTAATGGGTCAAAGGTTATGTTATGTTACACCGCTGTAAACTTTAGGCTGTCAGTCCGCTTCTGGACTCTTCTCTTGTTCCAGGACTTGTATGTTGTGTACACATAAATTTTACACATGTGGATTATTTATATGCAGACTGTTGGTTGCCAACCTGTCAAGCAGATGCATACTTCAAATTTGAAGGAAACATCAATTCTATCTATACAGGCCAGGCTTCTGAGAGGGAATCTGTTTCTCGTTGAAGCATAGAAAGATGTGGATAGGTCTTGTCCAGTTTTCGCAGTCATCCTTCTGCACCACCGCATAATGATCATGTGACTATAATTTTTTTTTTCTAAATTAACAAGACTGACGGTATGAAAATAAGATAACAAAATTAAACACAGAAACAGAAGAAAAAGAAAAAACTAAACATATTAGACAGAGAAAGAATAAATGGACAAAAGTACATTACACAGTGACCAGTGAAAAATTAGAGAAATGACTTCTTCTTCTTCTCTTCCACCTTGTACCTCATCGAAGTGTCGGGGGGAGATGTAATGTTCGTTGATGAGCTCTGTCAAGACCACTATTAAGACTGATGTTTATTTCTGTAAGGCTGTTCTTAATGCCATCACTCCATATTTTCCGAGGTCTTCCACTCGCTCTATACCCGTTGTAACGTTTTAGTGTGGCTCGCTGTAGCGGATAGTACCAGAGCATTCTTGTTAGGTGTCCAAACCACTTCATTTGTTGTTCTTTGATGACCTGTAAGACTGGCTTTATTCCTAGCATTTATCTGATTTCATGATTTCGTATTATGTCTTTCCTTGAAACTCCTGCAGCTCTTCTAAGGCATTTTATCTCTGTTGTCACAATTTTACGTTCATTGGAGGATGTAAGTGTCCACGTTTGGCATTGATAGCACAGTGTTGGCCAAACAATAGTTCTGATAAGATTCACTTTAGTACTCCGAGGTATCTGCTTGTGTGTCAACAGAGAAATGACTAGTCAGTGGAAAGAAAGAAACAAATCAGTGAGTGAGTAGAGACATTTATTTTTGCAACCTGAAAGGAAAAATAAGAAATACTTTTGTGTTTATTACTGATACTTACGTCTTGATTTTAACGATCTTCTCTGCCCTTGAATCATCCTTCTTTATTGTGGTCCAGTGTTGATACAAGTCATTGACCAATAACCCTTCAGGAATACTGCGGAGGAACTCCTAGATTGGGAGTAGAAAGTTGCACGATTTATACCACTGACAGCAGTATTTTTGTTGAATCCTACTTCATCTGCTTTTATATATAAATTGAGGAAACAAGTACCACACTCTGATACCAACCTTGAAGAGCTTCACTCACTCAGACACTAAACTTACTGGAAGAGAAGAAGAAAAGGCAGAAGCAGGAGGAGGAGAACAAGTCAAATTTGCAGTCAGTGCAGGTTTTTGATGGCACTTTTTAGAGCAGGGCTATTCAACTGACTGACTGATTGTCTACCCCACCAGGACATCACACAAGTGATAAACACCCAATGACACAATGTGCCACCATATGGGTGAGTATCACTGTGGAGAGGTCCCAGACACCGCATCCAGCCATTAGGCCCTATTTATGGCCAGGCTATATTGCGGCTCCCGGCAAGAGACAGGGTGAGGCTTCAAATAATGAAAAATTTCATCCTAAAAATGACGATAAATATTGTGTAGGCTATTCAACTGGTGGCCCGCGGGTTAAATCTGGCAAGCAGAAGCCTAGCAAATGGCCCGCGGATCACTGCAAGTTGTTCTGTATTACTGATCCTTTTATGTTCAGTCTTGATGCCTTTGTCGGCTTCTGTGGCTTAGGTGTTGCAAACGTACTTCGTTATGATTCTGTTCAGAAAGCAATGGCAAACTACTGGTTGTAGAAAAACCACAAAAGCCTAAATAAAATGCAACGTGCTGCAACGTCCTGTAAAGGATACCTAACTAACTTAACTTAAGAGTCTGGCTGGTGATGACTGCCTTTATCAAAATTTTGGCCCTGGGGTAAACTTAATTGAACAGCCCTGTTCTAAATGACAACAGTGTTCCACTGTGACACAGGAAGGCATGGGTATCACAGGGATGTTGTTCCTCTTCCTCTGCCCGGGCAGCACTGTAGAGACCACGTGTTGCCCTGCAGCATGACCCCTTCCTTGGTTTGCTTTGCTAACTCCACAGGAAAGATAACACCAATATATTTGGAACAAAGAATACTGCAGAAGCTGCCAAATCAGTACTCTGTCATCCTGTTGGCAGTTCCCTCCTAGACCAACTGTCAACCAAATCTAGGCGTCTACTACACATAATGGCATGATATATATATATATATATATATATATATATACTCCAACACAAATCTTAAAATGGTCATATATACTGAAAAGTCTATAGATTTTAACACTAATATTAAACACTGATGAGTTTCATTCAACCTGTACTACTATAAACTGAATAGTTTCATACAAGCTACTCTAATGTTAAAAATTGAAAAATATTACACAAGCTGACACTAACCTTAAACACTGAAGAGTGTCATAAACTCTGAACTAACCTTAAACACTGAAGAGTGTCACAAACTCTGAACTAACCTTAAACACTGAAGCTGCTGTTGGTGCCATGTGATCCTCCAGAAGATACTTCTCCCCAGAGTCGATTTTGTCCCTGATCTCTTTGCTCAGAGTTGCTTTGTTGCCACGCCTCAGGATTCCAGGAGTTTGTGGCCCTTGTTGGTAGACGAGAACCATCAGTTTCTGCAAAACATTTATAAGCATCATAGTCATGTGCAGATCACTTATGCAATTTACAAACAACACTTCTTCTAAATGAGGACTTTGGCAGTTTAGTAGTTAGCTAGACATCTGCCTGTGAACCAAAGGCCTTGGGTTCAAATCAGTGTGAGGTGGATTTTTTTCCCCCTTCTAAATTGACTTCACCTCCCAGATCTGTTCAATCTAAAGTGGCTTCCAAGTCATGTCCTGAGAAATCTGGAAAATAAGAACAGGAGGTAGAAGAAGCAGTCTGTCTCTGAGGAAAGGAATATGAAGCCAGAAAGCTGGTGCACAAACTTCAATCTTAAGCCACGAAAGTGGCACAGATAAATCAGACCACAAATATAAACGGAGACTATTGGGAGCTCGCTGCCAACTGCAGGGTTAACATGGTCAAGTTTAAAATTATTATTCTGTAGAATGGAATGGAAAAAATGGAATGTCCTGAGAGGCAGTAAAGGCAGTCCGATGTGAAGCTGACCGCAGCACCCAGTGAGTGCTGATTGGTGAATACAGTTATGAGACAAGCACCATATATCTGATGCACCTTTGGTATAAAAAGGTCCTTGACCCTTCTAAACAATCAAGATAAAGCCAACAATATTAAAGGAAAACTTTTTTCTTTTTAGCATTCACTGGTTGCAAACTCTAGTGGAAATTTCTGGTTGTTCACCCAATTCTGGACTTTGGTCTTTTTCCAGGACTTAAGATTTGCATGCACATCAGTTTTACAGATCTGAATTATTAGTATGTAGACTGTTGGTTGCTCATCTATCGAGCAGATGCACTTTGACTTCATGGGAAACTCTTCTAACTAGTGGCCTTGTACAGCATGCTTGTTAGAGAGGCAGTGGGTCTATCCCCCTACTCACCCCCCCCCCCCACCCATCTAGAATGGGGCCTCGGAACCCACACAAGAAGAAGTGAGAATGTTAAATTGAATTAATTCACGATCATTTATACAATATTAAAAGTAAAGTAAAGTAAAGGTCCCTTTCCACGCCTTTAGGCGTATGGGGCATATGGGAAGAGCGCCCATATTTTTATAGACCATCAGCACTTGTGGGTAATGAGGTCAGCATTATGCCGGCTATCTTTACTTTCCCAGGACAGCCCATCCTGGTACCCATTTTAGGCTGCGTCGACCTGCGACGCCCCATACCATGATAAAAATCCATGCAGCCAGCAGTGGGTTTCGATCGCGGTACGCTGGATTACGAGTCGGACTCGCAACGCCTAAGCCACGGACGCCGCCGCATTTATACAATATTACTTGTGTAAAATTCACACAAATGATGAAATTTTTCATTATTTGAACAGAATTTATATCAGAAAGAATTATTTTAATCAAGTTGACAGAAGGAAGTAAAACTACAACGATTATTCGGATATATGCACCTTGCAACGATAGTTATTCTGAAGAAGAAAAAGAAGACTTTTACGAGAGACTTACGGACACCATCAATAATGTTAAAGAGAAAGAGGACATCATAGTAATGGGAGATTTTAATGGTAGGGTAGGTAAAAGAAGATCACCATGGAAGAGATACCTTGGCCCATTCAGCGACACAACCACAGATTGCAATAGAAATGGAGAACACCTGTTAAACTTGTGTGCTGAACAAGATCTCTACATTACCAACACATTCTACCAACATCGCCAAAGTCAGGTTAAAACGTGGTACAAGTGGAACAACTTAGATCAAGCGTCACAAATTGATTTTATACTAGTCAGACAATGGCAGAAGAGGACGGTAAGAGACTCAAAAGCTGTCCCAAATATGAGACTGGATTCAGACCATCGCCCAGTAGTTATGAACATATGCAACTCAAGTAGAAACAGTCTACATAAACAGAAACGTGAAGAAATCATCAACACTAAGAAATTAGAGGAAGAGAATATCAAACATGAATTTGAACTAGAAATAACAAAGGCTTTTGCAGATATTGCCAAGGAACCAGTAAGAATTGAAGAAGAATGGGATTATTATAAATCAACCATCACGAAGATATTAAAAGACAAGTGTGGTACCAGAAAGACGGGCAAAGGCAAGAAAAAGGGTACCGCTTGGTGGAATGAAGAAGTCAAAGAAGCAGTGTCAAATAAAAAGAAGATGTTTCAAATATGGTTAAAAAACAAAAGACGAAAAGGATTACATTAGGTACAGACTAACTCGAAGAGACACCAAGAGAACAATAAAGAAATCCAAAGAGGAATCATGGAAAAAGTATGGTGAACACCTAACACAGCTATGTACAGAATCACCAAGAGACTTTTATAAGAGTGTGAAAGCGATGCGATTAAGAGAAGAAAGCTTCAATCCAACATCAGTCATAAACGATAAAAAATGGAAAACCATTATTCAGCCAAAAAGAAATTAAAAAAAGATGGGAGGAATATTTAAAAGAACTTTTGAACCCGTCGGGAGTACATGAAACAGCAGAATTCCATTCAAGGGCTCCAGATCATCTAGAACCACATATCCTGCGGGATGAAGTAGAGAAAGTTATCAAAACAAGTAAAAGACACAAAGCAGCTGGTATCGACGGAATAACAACAGAAGTCATCCAGGCTGGAGGGGACACTATGATCACCTGGCTGGAGAGAATTTTCAATAGAGCATGGGCAGAGAGAAAGGTACCAGTGGATTGGCAAAGATCAGTTGTAGTACCTATCTGGAAGAAAAAAGGAAACAAGAGAGAATGTGGAACTTATAGAGGAATATCTTTACTAAGTCATGTGGGGAAAATGTATGCAAAGATCTTAGAAGGTAGGATAAGAGCAAAGGTTGAACCTCTACTGAGTAAAGCACAATTCGGTTTCAGGAAAGGGCGAGGTTGCACTGATGCCATATTTTTCACTAAGACAAGTCTGTGAAAAGACACTCGAATACGATAAAGAGCTGAACGTGGTCTTTGTAGATCAAGAGAAGGCATTCGACCGTGTAGACAGAGATGTGCTGTGGAGAATTCTTGACGATTACGGAGTGCAGGGTCAATTATTAGACAACATCAGAGCCCTCTATGAAAAAAGTGAAAGTGCAGTAAGAACATCTAGTGGTCTTTCTGAATGGTTCAAAGTCACAACTGGTGTCAGGCAAGGATGTGTACTGTCACCATTACTTTTCATAACATACATGGATAAGATCACTGTAGAAGCAAACCCAGACGTGTATGCTATAAACGAATTACTTTTTGCTGATGATCAAAGCATACTGTATCAAAATGAATATGATCTACAGGAACATCTGACTACTCTCAACAACAGCTGTTTACAACATAATATGAGAATCAGTACAGAAAAAACAGAAGTTATGAAGATCAGCAGAACACACAGGCCACTGAATATAAATGTTGGAAGTGCCAAAATCAAGCAAACCAAAGAGTTCAAATACTTGGGCAGTATATTTACAGAGGATGGAAGAATGGACAGAGAGATAGAAACAAGAATACAGAAAGCAAATGCTGTCACATACCAACTATCACCTCTGCTTAAACATCCAGATATAACCATGAAGACCAAAAGACAATTGATAAACACCATCTTCATTCCAACACTCTGCTACCAGTGCCAGACATGGACAATCAACAAGACCCATGAAAGAAAAATAGAAGTCTGTGAAATGAAATGTCTAAGAAAAGCAGCGAATAAGACCAGACTAGACAGGATAAAGAATATAGACATTAGAAACACTGTCAAAACTACACCATGTTTAGACTACATAGAACATCAAAGAATGAGATGGTTTGGACATCTAACCAGGATGAAAAATGATCAAATAACATCACAAATTTTCAACCAAAGAAGCTCAGGATATAAGGCAAGAGGAAGACCAAGGAAACTGTGGATTGACGGGGTCTCCGAAACCTGCCAAAAGCATGGCCTCAGAACATCAGATGCTGCCCGTCTTGCTTATGACAGGAACTTGCATCTCCCCACAACGCTTAGCGGCATACGTGGAAGGAAAAAGTAAAAGTAAGTAAAGTAAACTTGTGTAAAATTATTAGTCTCACAAAGACAACTGATTGCCCACATTAGAAGGAGACAATATACATTCCTTAGTCATGTCACGAGAAGGAGAAAATTGGAGTAGATTCTAACGGTAGGAAAGTTGAAGGGGAAAAGCGGCAATGGTAAACAGACAGACAGACAATACTGGACAATTTAACATCATGGCATGGAAGATCCTGTGTAAGAACTGACTGACAGTACATGTGACAGAAGACTGTGGAAAGACATGACCACCAGTGCCAAACAGCATGGACATTAAGAAGAAAGAAATTACCACTAAAGTGTGTTTAGAAGATACTATCACTGGGATGTGATAGGTCTTCAAATTTTCTACGCCACAACAAGTGACTTGGGTCAGCCACTTCCCTTTTTCATCAAATTTACTTTCTAGAAAATTCTCAAAATTGCCTGGTACTCATTTCTATGAACCCGAGTGACCTCAGCGTTTTACTGGTCAAAAATAGCCAGACACTTCTAGGGATTTAACACTGACCACTGTCTCAGCCTAAAAGTGCACTAACAACTATAAAATAATACTCAGTAACAAAAGAGTGAGGCAGACCAAGAACAAGATGGAAAGATAGCATCAGAGCAATTTTACAACAGCACAATATGTCTATGGCCGAAGCGATCAAAAAAAGCAAGAAGCAGAACATTATATTTTCTTCAATACCCGAAGCAGTACAAGAGGAGGTGAAGAAGAAGAACTAAAAACAGAACTAAACTAACTCAACAGAGCAAATGAAAAATGTGAGTAGAACAATTATAAAGAGTACATCCCTAATTGTAGAAAATGAAAACTATACAGGCTTTCGTTAATTGCACATAAAGATGAATTTAGTTTAGTTAGTTGTGTATCCTTTACAGGACGTTGTAGAACCAACCCCAGCATTTTTAGGCGGTTGAAGTTTTTCTAGTCAAATTTTACATTCAGTAGTTTGCCACTGCTTTCTTAATGGTCAGCTCTCGATACCACCGTTGAAACCAATGCAAGACAAACCATCCACAGCTGGGATCGAACACGGCACCCCGGCATTATGAAGCGAGTTTGCAATGCCTAAGCCACAGACACAGACATAAAGTTAAATACAATGTATAAACTTGTGTGTTTTTTCTATGCTCTGTGTATGTTTGCATTAGGTATAGATCCTATCATTATATTCTTTCTATAAATGCAAAAGTTAATCAGAAAACATACACAAAGCATATCTGAAAACACTGTAGGAATAAGCAAGATTCCATTTCACAAATATTTCCTGCATTAATCAAGATCACAGGCAGTTCGTATAACCTATCCATTCACTGTCCACCTGTATTTGCTGATCTAAGAAACATTTCTTTCACACTTACAATAATAGATTCAGGAGGATCCAGGTTTTCATCACAAACTTCAGATAAAGGAAGGCCAAAAATTAAATGCTGGGCAGGCCGTCTCTTACGAAAAAGGGTGTTGAAAATGTTTGGAGACTTCTTGTTTTTCTTCAATGTTTTGGAAAATGCAGAATCTTCTGAAAACAAGAAAAAGAAAACATAGTCAGATGATGCCAAAATCAAAAACATAAAACTTCATAATTTTCTGAAAACGAAGTTCGCATTGTATTGAATATGTTGGGTTGAGTTGATTCAAGAAGCGACACTGCAACACTCTGGAAATTCCCATAAGCACTACATCCCCATCTTCAGCAGCCAATGCAGAGTTCCAATACCAATGGTGCCAGTAAAAGTCTGATTACAGGTCTGTTTAGCCTTTCCTCTGAGCAACGACTATCAGCCAGATCTCCTTGTCACTCCCCACTGCATCACTCTCACCAGACTGTGATGATTATAAACGTGCTCCCATAAGGTCTTTAAAAATGTCTTCCTTATCATGCATTAATATTCCACCAAGTAGTGCAGAACTAATCTGTCCAATATTTTAGTGGATATATGCTTACCAGCTTGCCCAACGGTCTAGGGTTTGCACCTGCATCAAGGTAGATTTTTATCAACTAACCCTTGGCTCGCAGCGTCACCCAACCTAGAATGGTAAAAGGTTGTGATCTGAACCACATCATTGAGTGCCAGTTTGTCTATAAAAGTCTCTCCCATTTGGAGATAATGTGGACACGGGGTGACTGCAGTCACTTGGTTGTTTAGAAACTGTGCCGTCTTGTCCACTGAGTTTTCAATTTCCTGAAATGGGATGTGCTGGGTCAAAAATATAGATATCACAGTCTAGCTTACAACCACAACACAATTTGCCAACCCCACTTTCAAGGGTGAGGCGGACAAGAAGAAGAAAGCTGGACCATCAACTACTACTTCTGACGACATCAACAACATTGGAAGATGATGACGCATGTCAACAGACACCACCTAGTTTACAGGAGGAACACACAGAGGTACAAAATAGAAAAACAGACATAAATACAATAATAAAATATATGTCATTAGTAATTCCTATTTCTGAGTGGTCTCGAGGCATGGCGTCTGCCTTGAGTGCTGGAAATCCCAGGTTCAGGCCGTGATTTTTCTATGTGGACTTCTAGAAATTTCCCCCTGGTCTCTGGGAAGTAAGATCGCATGCCCCTGTGTGCATGTAAAAAATCCTTTAGCGGTTGGAAATCACAAAGAGTAGCCTAATGGCGCTGCTCCGGCAAAATTTGGAGTTTAAAATCTACTCAAAGTATTTCAGGATCCTCACCAGTGCTACAGAGTTTGTGCACAGCATTGAGTTTCTTTGGGCTCAGGCTTGAGTTTGAAGTAGAATGAAGCACTTTTGGGTTACCACCCTTGTGCCATGATGCTGATCCGTTGTAGAAACCAAACCTATATCTGCAGCAATGAACCTCAAGGGTTCAGAATGATGAAGAAGAAATAACTGACTTACCAAACTGATTTTTCTTTGTTGACTTCTTCTGCTTCAGGTAGAATTCACATTTGACGCCAGCTGAAGAACTGTTGTCTACATGCGAGTCTAGATCTGCTGCTGTCATGGTGTCAATTCTGTCCCCTGACTTCGACCTTGACAGTCCTCGGACGTGGCTCAGTTTGATAGAGAATGGTGTTTCATGGCCTGAAAAATACGGAAAAAAACTTTTTATTATGAATGCCTACATACTCTGTATTAGAGAACGAGGTAAGGTAAGAGGAACAAGACAGAAGAAGAAGAAGAAGAAGAAGAAGAAGAAGAAGAAGAAGAAGAAGAAGAAGAAGAAGAAGAAGAAGAAGAAGAAGAAGAAGAAGAAGAAGAAGAAGAAGAAAAGATGCAAGTGAGGAGGGGTTGAGAAGGAGAACGATATGAAGACAAAAGGATCCGCCCCGTTTCTCCTCCCGACTAACACGCAACAGGAGATAAAAAGGTCCCTGTACACGACAGTGACAAAAAGGAGATATAGAGCTAGATTCACATATTTTAATTTAATTTAAAAACCAATCGGTCCTCGATCGGTAATGAATCAACATCACGCCGGCCGCCTTTACTTCCCAGGACTTTACCTGGCACCCATTTAAGGCTGGGTCGACCTGGGAGCCAAGGTCGTTATGACCACACAAAAATATTCCCAACAAGAGATACTCTGCGTATTTTATCCCGTTATTGTCGAATGCCTAGTAGCGGCTGGCCGAACGGTTGGAAGGTTGAGCTCTCAAGCGGGAGACCCAGGTTCGAATTCTTGGTAAGGCTGGGGATTTTTCTGTCGACAGAGAGGCAAGGAACCAACAGTCTGTACGCAAATTAATTAGATCTGTCAAACGAATGCACATGCAACACACAGGTTCGGAAACAGGACTGCAGTCTAGAAGTGGACGAACAACCAGAAGTTTCCGCCGGAGTTTACAGCTGGTGAACATAAAGAAAAAATGAAGAAAAAGAATGAAAACGTGTGCTGCTGCACAGTTTCGAGGTTACTGAATTCGTTTCATGATTCTGTTATCTGTTCCTTCTGTAATCTTGACGATCTCGAAACTCATTTACTCTCTGTCACACCTTCCACCCCTACTACTCAGCTCTTATTGGGGGCTGCGTTAGCGCATTCGATAGGAGACTCGCTTTCACATCCAGCTGCCACTCGCTGCAGCCTATGGCCGATGTTCGAAACCGGGTGGTTTCCGGGATTCACCCAGCCTCTGGGTAATAGGTACCAGAATTAACACTCTGGGGTAAATGGAGGAACGTCACTGTAGCTACAGAGTTACGTGCGGACGGCGACACAGGCGGACAGTTTCTTATGCTGTCCGTACTGGTGGCAGAGCGCTTATGGTTTATAACCGCGTGCAAGGACGCTGGTTCACATCTCCCGCCTTTACACTTTATTTTACTATTTAAAAAAACAACAACGGTATATTCATCACGTGGTTGTCGAATGGACCTCCAGTGAAACAATCTCGCTTATGCGTCACAACTGCGTCAGTTGTCTTATGGTCCCTACAGTCAGTTACAAGTGGAAAGCTGACTGACGAGTGAGTCATTCAGCAGGTGAAATTAACCGCAGTGTTTTAGGTGACAAGGCGTCGTAGAAGAGACGAAAACATAATTCTTCAACAATCACGTAACAAATATGCGAATGGAACTGTTGACCAGGGAGATCCGTTCGACACGAAAGGAAAGAAGGACTTAAAACGCCTTCCTATTCTTCACGTTCACCGGCTGTAAACTTTCATGGAAAATTCCGGTTGTTCGTCCACTTGTGGACTTAAAGTCTCGTTCCAGATCTTGAGTTTTGCGTGCACATCCGTTATACACATCCGTTTTTTTTAAAATGTAGACTTGGTTCCGTGCCCATTAAGCAGATACACCCCGACTTCGAAAGCCATACCTCCAAGTAGTCGAGTTTTACAAGTCGACTTGTTGGGGGGTGGGGGTGAGGGGGTGGGCAGGGTGAGCGGTGTCTTTTCCTTCCCGCCCCCCAAAAGGGCTCCCTTATCCACAAGGGGAGACACCAAACTGCTACCGGAACCACTGGAAATGGAACTCTTCGCTGGTTGATGGAAACAGCGAGGAACCCTTATAAGAATGAACCGAGTGCTGTGTTGTCAATTCTCAACTCAAAAAAACACACATAATCTGGTAATCTGGTAATCCTAGTTTCAGCTTCACAGCAAACGGGTCACCCCACATATGCTCCGCTCCGGTGCCAACGAAAAACAAACGCAGCTCACAGTGTCACGCCATGCACTCAACTCAGAAGCTGGGCGACGAAACTGGCACTCTCCCGTTCTAGATGGTTAACATCAACACGGCCACAAGAAGAACAAAGACACCATGATCGGACACTCCCTTACTCTATATCATTACTTATCGCAATATTGTAATAATTCTGCTTTAAAGAATTATTTATTTAAAAATAATTTATTGTTACTATTGGGTTTCATCAGAGAATGCTTTATCAACGAGTGCTTTTTTTGACAAAACCGACACATTTTCAACTTCAATACAATCTAACCTTTTGACTTTTAACCTAGTTTCTGCAGCCATTCATTACCGTCTTCAAGGTCAGCTTACCCCGAAAACCTCAACCTGCGAAACTGAAGACCAAGCTTCTGATGGCTCTAACTGTGCATACATTATCGTCGTGAATATATTATCCTACAGTTTATCGCAGTTAAAGCGGCAAAACGAACACAATGGAAGACAGGCTGCAACAGAAAAGCTTCGGCAGTCGCCCTGGGCTTAGAAGTCAACCGTTTGGAACTCGGCAAGGAGTAGGGAATCTCAATAAGATCATATCTAATTATATAAGATATCTCTCCGATCTCTTTGGTGGTGAGGACACCCTTTCCAATAATAGACTTTCGGATAACGACCAAACACAAGGTCTCGAGTAGTAGATAGTTACTCCAGGGTCATTTGCCTGCGTTATGTGTCTCGTGTTTATTTTTTTCCTTACTGCTGGACGTTTGTCTCCAATGCATCCAATGGTTACAATAATGTTCTTTTTAAACTGTTTTTTTTTTTTAAATAGCACATTGAAACCAACATCATCATCATTTGCCGTGTCAGTAAACGTTGGCATTCGTGTTTCACCATCTAACACGATCACCAGAATCACCGATCGAGTCAGTGTTCTTGGCCCCCCCCCCCCCCCAGCCCAAACATATATATGTGGACAAGCTATCCAGACATTTATCCCTTTGCCTTCCTCGTGCTCTTTTCCCATCAATCTTGCCAGTTGTTACTAAGTTCCCGAGTCCATTCTCACTGGAAATATCTTTTGCATCTTGCTAAGAGGCCACCTTTTCCAAGGCGATTCTTGTTCACATTTCTGCAAGGCATCTGGCATCAGATGTTCGACTGTCCCAAGATAACCGCATCTATCTACTGCTGAAGGACATTTTGGATGTTTTTTTGTTTCTTTTTTTTTGGTATCGACCATAATTTCAGTTTTCTTACAATTCAAACTTTTAAATCGTTTTCCAGTGTGAATTATCCAAACATCCAGTAAACACTGCAGATCATTTTCACAGTTTGCAGTTAAGGAAGTACTTTATATTGCTACTTTTAGCCCAACACCCCCCCGAATTAAAATACACATAATCTAATGCATGTATTTCTAAGCGTAAATAAAAGGGAGGGGGGAGAAACGGGGGTGGGGTTAGTAAAATTGAACATCACACACATATATACACAGAACAATTATTTTAACAAATTAGGCTAGTATTAGAATAGAAAAAGAAAAGTAAAGAAGAGGAACAATAAAACGAAAACAGAACTTTGACGAGGTCAGTAAAAGTTATTCAATATTCAGTCTGTACCAGTGTGTAAATTTGTATCTTCAAAATGTCTCAGAACTCTTTGTTTTAAGAGCTGTTAAAAACAGTAACAGTTTAAAAAGAATTTAATGCTTCCAATTTTTATAATAATAATAATAATAATAATAATAATAATAATAATAATAATAATAATAATAATAATAATAATAATAGTAAAAATATGTTTTGTTGGCACGAGATCACATACTGTGATTTCAATTAATTCAGCGTGCCACTGAAAATCGCTGCAAGTGCCAGGCTTGACACGCGTGCCGAAAGTCGCCGATGACTGCTCTGATTACTAACATGATGACTAATCGTTTAGTTTTCGTTTGAACCATGCTTAATCTGCATAGGTTTCTGAATCATACAGGGTCGGCTTGTGGCTTTGTTGCTATCGGCACGAGAAAGGGATTGTCATATTCACTCCTCAGTATGAATCTCCTCAACCATAAGCTAAGCCAAGATGGCAGATAATGTTGACTCTCAAAGACCTGAATTTTAGGATTCAGCTGCTAAAATTGTACATAATTTTGCGTCCGTGGCTTAGGCGTTGGGAGTCCGACTCGTAATTCCAACGTACCGCGATCGAAACCCACTGCTGGCTGCGTGGATTTTTATCGTGGTATCGGGCTTCGCAGGTCGACCCAGCCTAAAATGGGTACCAGGATGGCTGTCCTGGGGAAGTAAAGACGACCGGCGTAACGCTGACCACATTACCCAGCTAGTGCCGATTGGTCTGTAAAAATATGGGGCTCTTCACATATGCCCGATGCTCATAAAGGCGTGAAAAGCGATCTTTTCTTTTAACGTCTACAATTTTACGGTGTTTTTCCCCGTTTAATAATTTCCTACTCATGTTTTGGAAGCCGCCGTAGTGTAGTGGCTCGACGAATGTCAGCGGATCTGAAGATCGTTGGTTTAGGTCCTAAGGGAGCCTCACTGTTTTCTTTTTACAATGACCTTGTCTGCTACGTCGACCCAGCCGCTTAAATGGGCTCCAGGTAAAGTGCTGGGAAGTAAAGGCGGCAGGCATGATGCTGACCACATCACCCACCAGGTGCCAGTTGGTCTATAAAATATAGGTCTAGACCTGTAGGCCCAATATGACTAAAGGTGTGGAAAAGGGTCCTTTACTTTTTCTTATGATTTATTTCGTTCTGTCCATCTATCAGCTTTAATTTGCTCATTTACTACAACTGTTTCAGTAAATATAGTATTGAAAACTATTCACACAATTAACCCCCAATCTTTAAAAGTAAATATAAGCACAGTGATGGGTAATGAAGAAAAAACATGCCAGAAATAAAATTTTCCAGCTTTCCAAAAACACAATCGCGAGTGACAAATGAACGTTGCGGCT